CTCCTGCGGCGCCGTCCCCGCCCCCATGGCCGCCGCCCCAGGACGCAGCCCTGCGAAAGCTGGGCCGGCTTCCCGCGCCGGGAGAGTCGGGCTGGAAACTCGGGATCGAAATGAGCGCGCAAGGCGGGACTGGCCGGAGGGGACTGAACTTAGCCGGAAGGCAAAGGATGCTGGGAGGGAGCGGACGCTGAGCTTCCGGAAAACATCCGGTCATTGTTTCCGGAGTGAAGAATTTAAGTAACGGACCCGGGCTGTCGGCCTGTCAATCACGTCGATCGGGGCTCGCTGAGTGGTCAGAGTCGCCAGGAGGGGTGGGTCCGGGGCGTCAGGCTTTGAAAGGCAAGAAGCTGCTTTCCCTAAGAGTCAGTCCGGCTTGTTTTTCCTGGTCGTTCCCATTTCTCACCAGGAGGGGGCGTCAATTCCCCACGTTTGCAATCCCAAGGGCTAAAAATTTGCTCATTCCCTTTCACCCCTCTTCCCAGTTTTTTCTGTATTCTCTTAAATAATCTGAATGATTAAAACTTGCAATTCCTGCCCAACCGGTTTGGCTCAATGGATAGAGCGTCAGCCTGCGGACTCAAGGGTCCTGGGTTCGATTCTGGTCAGGGGCATGTACCTTGGTTGCGGGCGCTTCCCAGTGGGGAGTGTGCGGGAGGCGGCTGATCGATGTTTCTCTCTCATCGATGTTTCTGGCTCTCTATCCCTTCTCCCTTCCTCTCTGTGAAAAGTCAATAAAATATATTTTTTAAAAAAAAACAAACTTGCAATTCCAAGGCACTTTATTTCATCAACTCTGGAGAAAGGGAGGGGAACGTAGGTTGTGGAAGCCAATCTGAGGGTCTGGAGTGACCATTCACTGCTGAATGAACTTCAGAAATTAGAGGATTGTTTCAGTTAAAAGAGAAATCTTTCAAAAGGTCCATACCTTCAAAGGGGATGAGTTAAATCTGCATTCACAGTACACTCTGGCAGCCAGGTTACAGTACTCTATGGGAGGTGGGAAAAGCAATTATTTTCGAATTTAGGGTGTTTTAGATAAGGAAGGCTTTGTGTGTGTGTGTGTGTGTGTGTGTGTGTGTGTGTGTGTGTGTGAATGATTGTTCCTGTTAATCTCTATTGAAGCATTCTATTTTCCCTACTATGTAATAAGTGTAAGCATCCTCATGGGTAGCACTATGTATGACTTGCATTTGTAGTCCCCACAATGGCTTTCACATATTATGCACTTTGATTTATAGACTTTTACCGGCTATGTAGACTTCACATATTTCTTGTATTGGAGCTTGGGAGCAGGAAGTACTTGAAGAATGCTGAAGATAAATTATGTCTTGGAATTTTGCCTTGACCATAGTTAGCAAGGTTTTGTAGAAAAATGATCTCTTGGGCCACCTCAGTCAGATCGTGTTTGTCTAGAATACTTCACAAAGGAGTCGGGATTGTTTAGAGTTGCAAACCTTAGCTCTT